GTTTGATTTGAGTGGGGAATTGTTGATGTGATATTTGATATGTGATACAAAAATTTACAACTCCTAACTAAACATACAACTCAAAATTATTTTAAAGCACATTAAAAATTAAAAAAATTTTAGAAAATATTTTTCCCAATTATATAAATCAATTGCAAAAAAAAAAAAGAAAAACTGTACAACAGAGGACATCCGGGTGGATGTCCCCAAGGACGTCCGAGTGGTAGTCCCTAGGGACGATCGGGCGGTCTGTCCTCGGCCAAAAAAAATACAAGAAACGCGCAGAATGGACAGAACTTTCGGCAGAATTTTGAAAAATTAATTCCAAAATTCCTACCAAACATGAAGCTAAAACTAACATGTAGAATCACATTTCAAAAGCACAACCAAACACAACCTTTGCTTCTTATATTATCACGTGTCTACTTTTTTTTTATTTGAAATATCTATACCATTTTTAAACCAAGCCAAACCCTAAAACACAACTCACTCTCACACAACTCACTCATACACCGCCTCTCATCTCTCCTCTCTCTCTCTCTCCCTCCCTCCCTCCACCGCCACCACCACGACTGCCACCTCCTCCTTCACCAATTCTCTCTCTTCAACCGCACCACCACCTCCTCCCTCTCTAACCCACACCACTACCTTGCTTTCTCTCTCTCAACCACCACCCACCGTCTCTCTTCTCCTCCAACGGCTGCTATCATCTCCATCTGAACACAGAGGGAGGTCTGTGATGGATTAATTAGAGTTGCCTATAGCAACAAATTAGAGAGTAGAAGATAGAGGGAACAACAAAGACCCATCAACAAAACATAGAACCCTCTCTATTTCTTTCTAGAATTGACTCTTCTCTAATCTTTCAGACCAAAAAGCTTTATGTTTTTAAATTAGGTTGCCACTTAAAGAGAAAGATAAAGAGGGGTTTATTGTTCAGTAGGGATTTTTTAAATCAATTCCAAATGGTTTATCGTCCTTGATCAATGTATCTGTCTACTTTGCTTAAAAAAAGCATTAACAGGCTTTCAAGTTGTGATACATACACACACACACACATATATATACACACTAAGTTTTTATCATCCTTGATGAAAAGGATCAAGAGAGAGAAGACTCCTTCGCCACTTCAATGTATCTGTCTGCTTTGGTTAACAGAAGCATTAAAAGGCTTTCAAGTTATGATACATACACACACATATATATATATACCAAATTTTGTCAATTGTTTTGCTTTCATTAAGCATTTTTTTGGCTCTTGACTGATCTGGTTTGTGGTAGGTGATTGGAGTGGCGGAGGTTTGGCGGTTTGTTGTTATGGGTTAGAGGAGGAAGTAGCGGTAGTAGTACCATAGGAGAAAGAGAGGAGGAGGCGGGGGCATAAGGGCATGTGGGTTTGCAGAGAGATGGGTTGGAGAGATTTGGGTGTAGAAAGGTGCAAGATAGGGGTTTGTGGGCTTTTGATGAGAAGAAATGGGGTTCTTTGGCCACAAAAATAAAGGAAAACAATATTTAATTTGGGTTTTTTAGGTCATAAGAAACATAAAATTCTCAGAGTGTCTTCAATCAGGTGGTTTTCGTTGAAATTCCATTACAAAATAATAATAAGAAATCAAGTTTACTTATTCCACTGATAGTGATTGTATAAAGGATTAAATAAACCTGAGTCATAAATATAGACATGGAAATCTGGTTATGTAAATGGGCAAAGGATAATTGCACATTTACTGTTAATCTCAATTAGTCGACAACTCGGACAGGGGAGAACAGTATAATTTCAGAGAGAGAAAGATGGAGTCAATAGAACTAGAAATGTAATTGCATTTCAAGGAGAAGATAAAAGAAAGTAACTCGCAAAAATTTTGTCATATGCAACAGTAACCAATCACCTGTGACTACAATCATAAGCGGTGGTGAGGAAACTCAACTCAAACGCAGTACCAATGAGCACGTTTATATGGCTCAATTTGGAGGAAAGTACAAGAGCAAGGAAAAGCTCCAAATATAACTGCTTAAGTTAAGGCTATGAAACATGACATGATGATTTTGAATTTAACAACAAAATCCACCAAGATGGAGCACAATGACCTATAAATGGATTTATTTAATAGGCCCAATTCAACTTGGTCCAACTGAATTACTTTCACGAATCCTTTATCTACACATTTCTCCCCATTAAAATTGAAAAATCAAGAATCAGCAAAGAATATGACTAAGTTTATAAACATAAAATCAAGATGTTCAAGAAACCCTATGAAGCACAGATACTTCAAATAGGAAGACGTATCCGTATCGTATCCGTATCGGATAGCGAAACTCCTTGGATACTTACGGATGCGTATCAGATACTTATTAAAAGTATCGGATACTTCTTAATTAATTTTTCATTAATTTTGAAGTATCGGATGCTTAGTTTTGAAGTATATGATACTCCAAGTCACATATTATCAGATACTTCTTAATTAATTTTGAAGTATCAAATGTTCCAAGTCACATATTACTCCTTTTACAAAATTAGAATTGTATCATTTCTTGCATAACATCACAATATAATATAATTGCGAAGATAAATAAAATATTTTTACAATACTTTACTTAGTTTTTTTTATAAAAATAGCATAGTAAGCTAAAGTAATAGAATTCATCAAATTGACATATTTTCATTGTATCATGCATGTCCCCTATAGCTATATAGAAGTAAGGATTAATAAGATAATATAATAATAGTAAAATTAAATATCAATAAATAAATAAACAAATAAACTTGTATAGAATATTTTTGACTAATGCAAAAAGAAAAAACATTGGGTCAAGTTGTGGATTGTTTTGATATTATAATATCAACATATTAAACTTGATATTGAAATGAAATATTTGCAAGACCTATTTAAAATTTAAAAACTAAACTAGCTACTACGTTAAATTAATCTAATTCTTAAAAATTAGTATTTTGCATCATAAAGTTACTGTGATTTCTCAACATTCTTGAACTTATGTATAATTCACTGCTAATAATTTATTTTTTTTTTATTTATCACAAACGTATCCTAGCCGTACCGATGTCCTACTTTTTTTGGTTCTATCGTATCCGTATCGGTTCGAGAAGAAACCTATAAAAATGGCAATTGAAGCACCAAATACCGATAAATTAAATGAAAAAAAACTAAAGGAAGATGATTCTCACCCAGAAAACGAGCTGAGAACAAATGCAGCAATGACGCACCAACCAGTAATTGTAGAAGCAGTGACAGTAGCATAATCAAAGAAATACACTAGACTCATTCGAGATACACGAGTCCCAACAAGAATTCCCATGAAAACTCCAAGTGTTAGATAGTATAAGCATTGAAGGCAAACAATTTGGGCAACAATGAGATATGGATCCCACACCACCGCACCGTAGAACATGACTTTAAACCCTTTCAAAAAAAAAGAACCCAACTTTCCAATCCCCCTAAAACAACCAGATGTTCCAAAATACCACAACCATTATATCTTTGGATCCAAACCAAAGGGGTCGCCTTTCAAGAGCCCAATTCTTCAAACTACTTTAGTTCAAAATCCAACCTAAACCCATATTTGTATCGATTCAGAAATGAATGAAAACCAACCAATCTTTAGGAATTATCAAACAAAATCAAACATACGAGAGAGAGAGAGAGAGAAACCCTAAATTCTGCAGATTGGAATGAAATTCATGAGTTGATCGAAGCCATGGAAGCTTCAGATTCAACAGAGGTTTAACCAAAATGAGAGATTCGTGAAGTCTCTCTCCTCTCTCTCTCTCTCTCCCTCCCTCCCCCCCCTCCCTCCTTTATTCTTGGTTGTTTTTAAACAATTTGGTTAAGAGATGCGCACAGACTAGAGAGACCTTGCACGCACCCAGTAATGCACTGAGCCGCACTGATTTTCAGAGCGACTCACTCGTTGCGTTGCGTGTGTCATTTCGATTTTGAGATTAATTACACCATTTTTCCTTATGTTTCTAATAATTACACAATAACCCTGTTTGGGAAAGGCTATTCAGGCAAAAGTAGTCAATAAATACGAAGGTTTTGTTAAAAAAGTTGACTATTCTAATAGATTATTTTAGTTTTTGACTATTTTAATAGGTTAAAATTTTTATATTTGAAAAAATGATTGGATTAGAAAAAGTGAAATGATTACGATTTGATGTGACATTTTATTTTATTGACTATTTTAACATATTTTATCTTGTTATGGATTTTAGCCTAAAAAAAAGCTATAAACCCACTTTATAAACAGGGCCAAAATAAGTTAAAATAACTAATAAAACAAAATGTCATATCCAACTTATAATCATTTTACTTTTTCTTTTATAACCATCAAATTAACCCCCTCAAAAAAAGTCAATTATCTTTTCAAACTCAACTTTTTAGTTAGAAAATAGTCAAAAAGCTAACTAAAATAGGCAACTTCCCCAACAAGGTTAATTTGTAGGGCTGACAAATTAGCATAAAAAGACAAAATAGACTAATTTAGTTAATAAGATAAAATGTCACATCTAAATTATAATTATTTTATTTTTTTTCTAACAACCATCATATCCAAACCAAAAAAAGCCAAAAGTTTTTTCAAACGGAGCCTATATGCAATTATCTTTTTGCTCCTTTGCAAAATTAAATTATGATGACATTATGCCATGTGTGGAAATTGCTTTTAAAAAATAAAAAATTCAATACAAAAAGTAAATTCATTCTTCCTATTTTTTTAAGTGTATTTTTATAAAAAGTAAATAAAAAGTCACTAATTTGTTTAGAAATTGACTATTTTAATTTATTTTTTATTTTTTATAAAAGACGTGTAAAAAAATAAAAAAAAATAATATGACAATTTATAATAATTTTTTTAACATTTTACCTATTTTAACCTTGACAAATGAGGCTTAAAAAAAGTTAATTTTCAAACGAATCCTACATTAGTGGCCAAACAAATATAAATTAAACTTTATTTTCTTCTATTTTGTAGCCAAAGCACTACAAGAAATCTAGGCTATTGTGACGAAATTTGGTGATGACAAAATAACAAAAACGTAAAATATAATTAGTAAATCACAAAATTATTTCCCTATCAGGCTCAATAAATTTTTTATAAATTTATTTTTTATTAAATTTATTATAGTACCTCAACAACTTTGTTGAGGCACTATTCATTAGCTATATGATTTTTTATTATATTTTCTAGAGTAAAACTAGGCCAAAATCTTTAAACCGGATGTCTTCCTGGATGTCTCATAAGTACTTGTAGCAGAAAAAGAAAAAATGCCGAAAATTAATTTAATCGGTCGACCGGCCGGTCATCCGATCAACGGAAATTTTATTTATTTATTTTATTTATTTTTTAAGAATTGTTTGGATGATACCTCATCAATTTAATAAAAAAATAGAGATTAACAAGTACAATGAGAAATTAATATTTTAATAAGATTGAGTTAGAATAGAGAGTTTGATATAGTAAATACTAAAAAGACGACTAACTAAAATAATAAAAATAAATTTTGAATTATAATTTAACTTAAAATTTATTGAAACTGATGCGAATGCTCTTGGTAAGAAAATTAAGATTCATTGTGATTTGGGCAATGTTTAAAGTAATATTAAATTAGTTAATTTATTGTGATTTGGGCAGTTTAAATCATTGACGCTGACGTATCGCCTTAAAAGCCTCTATTATTATCGTACATTTTTATAAAAAAATATTCAGTCACATAATTTCTATCTTTCCAAATAACATGAGAAGTAAAATTGAAAGTTGACTGACTTTAATATTTTTTTCGAAATTCTCCTTATATATATCCTAGTTTATCACTTATGCTATGCATAGAATAATTATAGATATTTTATATTTATTTTAGATTTTTTTAATATATAAATTATATTTTTTAAGATTTTTTATAAAAATAATTTAACAATCTTATCACTAACCATAGTATATGAAAGAAGTTGAAAATTGTACTACAGTAACTATATATGGATTGTATCTATAATTATTTGTATGATGGGATTTTACATGCTGATTAGGAGATTTTGACCAAATCAATAAATGCAGGCATGTGAAAAGACATGTGAATTAAAAAAATTTAATAAATGTTGATCAGGGGATTTTGACCAAATTAATAAATGCTAAGATTTTTTTTAAATAAAAAATAAAAAAATTAGAAAATATTTAACTTATATTTCATTAAAATTATTCTCATTTTTTTTTCCCCCTTTTCAATTTCTATCCAAACGTCTGGGGTGGACTTCCGGCGGGATGTCCGAGGGAACTTCCAACCAGATGTCTATGAGGACTTCCCCAGGCACACAATTCTCACACTTTCCCACGTCCTTCCTCTCTCTCGTTGGCTAAAACACTAGCCACAGTTAACAAAGAAGTTAGCAGCTGACACTAACACACTCCACTAACACATTTCTTAACACTTCCATTGTGAATCTAAAAATTATTGTGTCTCTCCTAAATTTTGGCGACTAACACTAACACACTCAATAACACATCCATTATGAATGCTCTAATACTTAGATTTCTTGCTCCCTATATATAAATGAGTGTTTCTCTTCTTTTCTCTTTAATAGGCACACACTTGTGTTTTGACCAACCACAATTCTCTACCACCACCTCCTCTCTCTCTCGCATCTTTTAGTCCTCCTCTCTCTCTCTCTCTCTCTCTCTCTCTCACTCACTCTCTCTCTTAGTGCTTGCCAGAATCTCAAAGTAACAAATAGCTAACTTTTTCAGCAGACTCAAGTGCCTAACTAAAACTGGTGATACAACTGGTAATCCAGAGATAAGATTGAGGTGTAAATTTGGAACATGCCTCACATCTTTGAGAACCAGCTTGTAGTCTGAATGATAATGTCCCCAATACCCATAATCCAATCTCCCAATCTAAATTTTCTGATTTTTTGATTTAAAAAAAAATCTTAGCATTTATTAATTTCTCCCAAGTCTTACCCTCATAATAGCACTTTAATGCATTAAAAACAAGCATAAAAAAATTCTTTGAAAAGTCCAACACATATGCTATATACTTGGAGAACTAAGGAAAGATTAGAGATAGACAACGTAATATGATTTTCTTTCTATGATACACATTGTGCATTCCTAAATAGAATAGGTTAATAGTACACATGATGCGTTTTATGACATAAAAAAACTTGATCTTTCATTTGTGATCAGACATGGACAAGAATTGGATTGCATTGGGTAAGACACCTGATGGAAGGATGAGTCAGCCATTTATTGATGGGGTGACATCATTTATTAAATTTGCAATAGCAGTTGTTGACTAGGAAAGTAAAATTTCGTGTCCATGTTTGAACTGAGTGAACTGTTATTCCCAAAATCTTTGAAATGTGCAAATTCATTTGCTTCAATATGGGATTATGCAAACATACACTATTTGGCATGAGCACGGTGAACTTCGTGTATCAAATAAGGCTCACCATGAAATGGCAATTGATGAAGATGAGGTTTGAGGTGGTATTGATGCCTTAGTGGAAGATCGAATAAGAGGAGAACCCAACGATGCACCCCAAAATGAGGAAGTATAGACGCTTGATAAACTATTGAATGATGCCAAACATGAGGTGTACTTAGGTTGCACAAATTACACCCTGTTGAAGTTTGTCATCGGGCTGCTTAATATGAAGGTAACAAACCATTGGAGCAATAAGTCGGTTGACACACTGTTGGAGTTTTTAACAAAACTTTTACCAAAAGATAATTTCGTTCCAAAGTCATTTTATGAAGCTAAGAAAATACTTAGTGATTTAGGCTTGTCATATGAATTAATTGATGCTTATGCAAATGATTGTGTACTCTATTGGAAGGAAAATACAAGGTTGGATAAATGTCCAAAATGTAAGGCATACATGAATGATCCTTACACAAATCTTTGTTGTATGAACAATCTAGAGCTCATTTCATGAGGTATTCACAGGATTGAACTCAAATCAAACAAAGTTAAAGAGATCAAAGCTCAATTTCTTGAATCTAGTTCAAACAAACCCTCAACTCAAAACCCTAACTCATTTAGGTTTTAAACATTCAAATTAATTCTTGATTTCAAACAAAAGATGAGTTAATCCAAGAGTTCTAGTTGAGTTTTACATACCTTAACCCAATTCTTGAGTTTTCTCCTTAAATCTCCCTCAAATCTTTAGCTTCTCTTCTCAATTCTTGGAGCTCTCTCTCTCTCTCTAGCAAGAGTTTGTTAATAAGGGTGATCTCAAGACTTAAATAAAACCTTACTATACATATAACTTAGGATAACTTAACTTGGGTTAGCTTAATCTAGGATTTATGCTAATTAAAGTACTTTTGGCGACGAAATTTGTGGGTCGCCAAATGTGTTTTTTGTTGTAGTGTTCTCTTCTCAATTCTTGGAGCTTTCTCTCTCTCTCTAGCAAGAGTTTGTTAATAAGGGTGATCTCAAGACTTAAATAAAACCTTACTATACATATAACTTAGGATAACTTAACTTGGGTTAGCTTAATCTAGGATTTATGCTAATTAACCTAATTAATCCATTACGAATCATTTTTTTTTCTTCCAAATTTCACAATAGGCTCTAAAAATCATACTAAATACAAATATAAAGTCGGTTTTGGTTTCTGGCGCCTTTAAGGCTTTCAATTTTCAGTTCAAAGTTCTAATTGCAACAGACTGCTTCATGGCAGTCCAAACTACAAAAGTGTGTTGCTTTATCTACAACAGAGGTAGAGTACATTGCTGTCGCAGATGCTGGAAAGGAAATGTTGTGATTAAAGCAGTTTCTCCAAGAATTGGGTCTACAGCAAGAAGAGT